ATCTGTAGGCAGCGTAGTGGATCTGTAGGCAGCGTAGTGGATCTGTAGGCAGCATGGTGGGTCTGTAGGAAGCGTAGTGGATCTGTAAGCAGCATGGTGGGTCTGTAGGCAGTGTAGTGGATCTGTAGGCAGCGTAGTGGGTCTGTAGGCAGCATGGTGGGTCTGTAAGCAGCATGGTGGGTCTGTAGGCAGCATGGTGAGTCTGTAGGTAGTGCTGCTACTTCATCCCTCCAATCTCAACCCTGCTGTCAAGATTCGCAGGTTCTCCCCATGTTGCTTTGGTGTCCTCCAGGTATTCTGATTTTCTACAATAGTCTAAAGACCTATAGTTAGGCTATTTGGAGTTTCTACATTACCTTTAGTGTTACTTTAGTGTTGATTATGAAAGCATAGAGGTTATAGACAACTAAATGATCTAGTAGTTAAGAAAAACTGGCACGCAGCAAAGGTGTGGTGAGGAACCTAGAAAAAATCTGCCAAAGTACTGATATTTTTCCATAAACAATGATCAAAATTGTCCAGAATATTGTATTGTGATGTCATACCCAATGGAACCATGCAGGTAACTGATCGGCCTCTTGTTCAGTTAGAGCCCATTGTTTCCTATTTTCTCGATATTGATATGCTGCAAGCCCAGATGTTGTTAATTATTCCAACTTTCTTTTTGCTATTCTGCTATTAGCCTAAAATTACCATATTAATTGTTGATCTTGGCTTTGAGTTGTTCAAAGGGCATGACACATTTTGACAGGCAATTTTTCAATTCTCATGCAGTCATCCTTTTAACATGCCACATTTCTCTCAGTTAGCAATATAACTTTGAGGCCTCAATAATGCATTTGAAAGAGGAATTTTAAAAAGCTTTTTTTCCGGATATCTCAGGGCATGCACAAAGTTAGAACTGTTGAATTTTCAGGCTACAAAGGACTCATGTATGAAAAAATGCATATTAAGCATTAATTACCTGCAGGACCTTATTTTATTGTTTCTGCATTGTCTTGGAAGCAGACTTGGAATGTTGATTTCACATTCTATAAATGTTTTGGTTGTATTTGTGCTTTTACAGTCTTCATTGAAAGGAGAGAACGTCACAGTGTTCGGCTGTTTAAACCATAGAATGCCCCTGCCATTATCTGAAAATTCCACAGTTAAATGTGAATCTGGTAAGATATTCTTTTATTCAATCTACATTTCTTCTTCAGTGTAAATAACTTTTCATTGTAGTGTAGTAATTGAAACCACTGTATTAATATCATTGTAAGATTTCATTCAGTTGGAATGGCAAACTCCTCTACAATACACAAAGATAGGAGGATATAAAAGTGCCTTTTTGAGAAATGGGGGAAAATGATTGGCTTCAGCACTGGGGAAAAGGCACAAAATAATATAGCCTTTTGAGAAAGTGTGACAAGTTCTGGGCTGCTGGGTTGGAGAGAACAGAGCATTATAACATCAATCACTGACAACAGGTGAATGTCACCCTCCTTTGCCCTTCCTTGTCTGATACTGAATATAAATGTTTTATAAAGCAGAAGAAAATACTGCAGTATTGTGCAATATGCAGGAAATATGTTAAAGTAACCCCATCATCCTGTTTGAAAGCAAATATGAATATAATTGTAAAAACACTTATATAATAAAGCAAACACAAATATGCACACAGCCTGCCATTACTAAAACAGAGGTTTATTTAGGGAACAGGATAAAAGATGTAGAAAAAGGTTGGTGGTGACAAAGGGGCTTTGATTCCAGGGGAAGCATCTCTTCTGCCCAACAGATACAGGTTCTTTATTATGAACAGGATCAGTCAGGAGGCAGCAGTTATTCTGCAATAACTATTGACAGGGGGATACTGAATGCACAGCTATCTTACCCTTTCCTTTTCCTCTTGACCTTCCCTTCAGTGCAATCTTTCATTTGCACTGGGGAATACAGTCCCACCCCCTAGCTGGGGTAATTATTGGCCATCAACTATATCCTGTTGGCCTTCCTTCTGGCTGACCATGAGGAAACCATGGTTACCAGCAACCTGCATGGTACTGATTGGCCCCTGCTGGTGTAAGCAGATTGCTAGTAGTCGTCACAGTACATTTTATTTATATAGCAGAAGCTTTAATCCAAAGAAACATACAATTGAGGAGGCAGGGTCCTGTCCATGGAGCAATTGGGAGTTAAGGGCCTTCAGCAGGAGTGAAATCACTCTGCCAACCACTAGCTGGTGGCCTTCCAGGCACAGACATAGTCTGCTCCTGCTAAAACACGCCTTTGTGATCAGAAGCTGTTAAGTGGTTGAATGCTACAGTAATACTTAAAGTGTGATTGTACACAGAATAGTCTGTATATAGAAGTGTCCATGAATGAACAAGCATCTCATCCTGAACATTGTCCTGTGCTTCCAGGTAATTACTGGAAATGAATTTGAAATTAAATCATTTGCATTGATTTTAATTGACTTGTCATCTATATTCTCTTGCACTCTTTTGCACCCCTTTCTTTTCCTCCTGACCTTCCCATTACGTGTTCAGAGTCCATTGCTGGGTTCATTCTATCAGTGAATGCCACCTCCAACATCACCAAGCTGCGAATTCCCTACCCTCAGACAGGCACTTGGTATCTGAGCCTACGCTCCCTCTGTGCCACCGAACATGGGTAAGACTATATCCCTGAATATAACTTTATTACTTTTTATGCTAATACCACAATTTAAAAGAAACAATTTCTGGTCAACAATGTTCCTGGATGTCATCGGGGTTAGTCTGTCAGCTTCAGCCGCTTTGTGGCTATCAGAAAAATCAGTTTTGAGAGGGTGATCATGTTAAAATGCAGTTCACCATGGATCCACACACATAAGGTTTCAATCCTAATATGCTCTCCCCATGCTGTGCACGTTTTCTCTGTTTCCCTCCTGCAGTCTCTAAATTGCCCATAGTGTGTGTGTGTGTGTGTGTGTCTATGTGTGCGTGTGCCCTGTGTTGGACTAGCATCCTGCTTGGGGTCTTCCCAAGCGTCGTGCCCTGTGCTCCTTTGGATAAACTCCAGTTCTCACCCAGCACTCTGTACTGCATTAACATTTTGTTCTTTGAAATATTTATGCAGCAAATTACAAAGATGAAACTATCACATGAATCTCAGTCCCCCAGTGTGACCAATTAGTGACAGAATTGGGTATATTATGACTGATTTAAAGAAATAAGAATGTTGCTGATCACATAGTAGACATGTGTTTTGGTACACTTATTCTATGAATTACATTTTCCGTAAACCCTAATGGTTAATAGGATGAAAAATGTAACACTCAGCTCATCCAGATACAGCTTTAATTGGTATCCAGGGTCCAGCTATCTTCCCATTTATACATGAACTCTGGCTATTTTCCGTATTCTTTGTAATGTATTCTCTCTCATACCTCATTTTCGCCTGAAGCAGGTTTGAAAGTTGCAACAATATCACAGCAGAAGTGTACTTACGGTCATACCTCACACCCTGCATCAATGATTGTGGAACATATGGACAGTGCAAACTACTCCGCACCAACAATTACCTGTATGCAGCATGTGAATGTAAAGCAGGTAAGAAAAGGAATCAAACAATATACATAAAAGGGGAAAATCATAGTTTTGAAATGCTGTTGAAATTAAGTCTGGAATATGAATTACATAGAGTGAGGTACATTTTTATTGAAATTTGACTAAAATCCAATTTCTTGATATCACAAAGGAAGCTACATTCTTGGTTTATGAAAAAAAGGTTTTACCATCTATCTCTTACATTATAAAAATCTTATAAATACAATATGTATTACATATCTGGGGTAATGCAATTTTAATTACAGTGATATTTCATAATTTCTGTACAATTATCAGTTGGGGATGGAGATGGAGATGGGATGGCAATCAGATAATTAGCAGGTATGGTGAATTATGCAGTTAATTATTTGCCCCCATTGGTTTATTTACTAAGATGCTATCAAATCAATTACAATTACTCCTATTCTCAATTTAAATATCATAATGGAAAAATAAACAAATCCCTTAAACACTTTAAACACATTGTTTTTTAGTATTTATAAATGCAGCATTTTAACAATTACAGTGTTCATTATATTCAGTCTGAATAATTAGCCTCAGATTTTCTTGTGGGTAATATGAATAAACAAAATTGAACAATATTTTAATACCCCATTAATTTAATAAACTGTAATTTATTTCCAAGGTCAGGGCTGGATTCTAATAATTAAGGATAATCACTATTTTTAAATAAGTGAAACCCGCTGGTATATTTCAAGTTCGGCCTTCCTGTCCCCTATGCTGTTCCTCTGAGCAATCATTTTGGCATAGGATTGCTTGCTTATCCAAGACACAACACATTCCTTATGCGTTAATGCTAATGATTATATAAACTGTAGGTTTTTATGTAGGTTTGGGTAAGGCAGTAGTTTCTCTGGAAATCCAATCCTTTAAGCTTTGAACTACCTACTTGCCCACTGGGTCACTCCCTTACCCTTGTGACAGGCTGGGATGGTTGGGGCTGCACGGATAACTCGGAGGCGTTCTCCTACGGATTCCAGCTGCTCTCCACCCTGCTGTTATGCCTGAGCAACCTGATGTTTGTTCCGCCCGTGGCCATCGCCATTCGAAGCAGTTACCTGCTGGAGGCCTCTGTATACATCTTCACAATGTTCTTCTCGACTGTAAGTTCAGGTCTTGCTCATTTTTCATAGTCCTATTAATACATTCAGGACAGTGAAATCTGCATGGGGTAAAATGTATTTGCATGCGGAGAAACATCACCAAGGGAAAAGGAGCTTTTTATTCTAATGTATGTGTTCCTGTGCAGGTTTTAACTTGAAGTACTTAGTATCTTCTAAAAAAAAGTGAGACAATGAATTGCAACCCATTTAGTATGTAATACCACTAAATTTTCCCTTTATGGTATTCAAACAGCCACACACTCAAACACAGTCACACTGTAGGCAAACTGTATGTGCTTTAATGCCTTTTACCACAATTTCTAGTCCTTGCTCTACTTTAATCATTTCAAATATAAAACTTATGGTGTGATCAGACAAGTGTTTTAAGAAATGAAGAATTGTAATATTTTTAGATTTAACTCCAAGTTACATGACCCTTAAAATGAGAAAATAAGGGAATTTTTGTTCTTCTCTTACAGGATAGTATCAGTTTTAAACAATGACATTTGTACTAAATTAAATCATTCATAATGATACTGTACCTGCTCAAAGTTTACTACAAATTATATTGTACTTTATGAATCTACATGTTTTCTATTTTATAGTTTTACCATGCCTGTGACCAACCTGGGATTGTAGTCTTTTGCATCATGGAGTACGATGTCTTGCAATTCTGCGACTTCCTTGGGTCACTGATGTCAGTGTGGGTTACCGTCATTGCTATGGCCAGGCTTAAGCCAATCTTCAAGCAGGTATGTAATTTTTCATTGTTGCTTCATTAATACCACAGATGCAACACAACTGTTTGAATAAATCTGCAAATAGTTGTAAAAACATAACTGGTTGATTTTACATGCGTATCAGTTTTTGTAACAATTTGTTTGTGGGTAATGCCACATGTTTCCTTCTATATGCAAGGGATTTCCGGAAAGCTGCAAATTAAGCTTATACAGTATATTAATTTTGTGCACATCAAAATAATGAAATACCTGTCAAATAGTGACTACATTACAGTTGTTTGTCCAAACATTTTACAAGGTAGCTATCAGTTAATGAGAGGTAGAGTGTGGTGACCCATGGACAGGGACACCAGGGCCTGCACTAGCTATAGGCAAAATAGGCAGTGGCCTAGGGCCCCTGAATTACCTTCCTACCTGTGGATGAAGTGAAATGATCATCAATTTTCTTGGTGTGGGGGCCTCCCAAGTAAAACCACCTAGGGCCCCTGAAAAGGTAGAGCCAGCCCTGAGTGGAACACACACAGCCATATTTAATATCTTTAACTGACTAAAGCTACCTTTAATTGGTCCCCACTTGCAGCCAACAGGGGAGCACTATGCAGTATGTCTAATCAGTATCGATGAAGCAGCCTGCTGTGTTTGCCCTCTTAATGGCAGGTGCTGTACTTGCTGGGAGCGATGCTGCTGTCTATGGCCCTGCAGCTGGACAGGCATGGGCTGTGGAACCTCCTCGGACCCAGCCTGTTTGCTCTCGGTATTATGGCTGTTGCTTGGGTAAGGATGGGTTCATATCAATTACTGTGGCTGCTGATTCTAATTTGTGTACAAATGTTGCAGGTAATGCATACCAAAGACTGACTGCAAAAGTCTGATCTAACTCTGATCTATCCAGTATAATTAAAGGGCTGTTGCCATAACCCCTCTGCACCAATATAAGATGACTTAACTGACTAATTTTAACTTCCCATTTTATATGTTTATTGTAACAAGATTGAACATTATGGAACATATCACAAGAATATTGTCAATTCTCCATTAATATCTGAAGGTGTTTGCCGTTCCTTTATCCTTATAGTTCCATTACTAGACAGGTTGTTCTTTTAAATCCTTTCTGTGTTATAATTTTCTTCCTAAACAGAACAGATAAGACATAATAGTTTGCCAAAACTTTCCAGAATGAAGCATAGTTATATTGTATGGAACAAAGGGTAACGTTTTACATTAACTATACTTTCATTGTGCATTCAAAGACCATTCAGTACACCTTCATAATGCATTCATTATACAATTATACGAGTATAATGTTTGTTATTGTCATATAATGTTTGTTATTAATGTATATGAAAGATGATAAGGTATGTTAGGATGTTACATGCTGCTTATGCATCATGAATACATTTTGAAGGTGCAGTAAATGTTCTGCGAATGCATTATAAAGGCATTATGAAGGTGCAGATAATGTAAGTGTTACTGAACATACAATACTTGGCAAAAAATTAAAGCATGTAAAATATTATCTTTCTGATATAAATATATTGTAAAACCAAAACATTGGTTTGTTTTATTGTTTTTTGTGACCATCTTATAAAGAGCAGTCATTTCAATTTGCAGTCTGCAGTTGTACATGCCTGCAATGTAGCCTTGCTTTGTAGCTGTTGGCAAAATGATTAATTTATGCATTTCAAGAGGATGATGCATATTAAAGTATTCTAATAAATAATTTCAATGATGTTCCCCATCAAATGACTAGAGATGTCTTTGATGAATATCAGTCCAGTAATGTACATGTTGTAATAGAGGATATTATGTAAATACATAAAAAATGTCACTGCACTGTAAAGCCACTTGCCAATGACAAACATATATGTATCTCTTATGGTAGATGGGCACCTGCATAGTTATGCATCTCAAATATTGTGGACTATACTTTTCCAGCAAGCATGAAATGCAGGTGCATTAAAGACAGATAACTCCATAATGATTACTCTGCCACTGACATAATCCTTGTTTGTGTTACTTTTCCCATTAATGCATAGTATCATTTGTGAGGCACTATTAGCTAGCTGCAGTGCAGTAGCCCAGTGAATGGAATTAAAAATACAGCAAATTAATTGAGGCAAAAGTTGCTATAATAACGACTCTTTCCCCAAATGTTCACATTTAAAGATGTCATATTTGTAGTAGTGTCATAATGATAATAGACGTATACCATTGATAACCTTGTCATATTAAAGGACTGCATGTGGTACCTATTGTGTATACTCTTACATGTTCTGTCTTCAGCCAGAAATGATTTTTGTAACAACTTAATAATTCATAAGACATATTATCATATGCACTACACTAGTGGCCAAAATTGTGAAAACACTTCCAATATTTAGAGACTGTGGAACTTAATTCTAGTTACTCAAGTAACTTATTTAATCGACCAATGTATGATAGTTGCTTCGTTTATAAACATGACCACCAATATTCATGTAGTAATTACTGTACAGTACATGCATGCATACATATGAATATTAATCTTTTAGAGCCACATTAAATGCATTTTTAAAGTGTACCTTGCATGCCGCCTACAGACCGTGCGAACCATCCGGAGACGGCGTTGCTACCCACCCACCTGGAAGAGATGGGTCTTCTTCTTGTTTCCCGGCACCATGATCGCCACCTCCGCCGTAGCTCTTTATGCTTTCGTGGAGACAGAAGAGAACTATTTCTACATCCACAGCATTTGGCATATGCTGATTGCAGGCAGCGTGGGCTTTTTACTCCCGCCCCGTGCAAAGCCCAATGTCAAGGCCACACCAATGAAGAGAAGGAGGGGATGTGGCTATCAGCTATGTGTCAATGAACATGAAGAGATGGGCCTGGTGGATCCAGCCATCATCTCTATCAACAGCATCTGCACAAGTTGATACTCTTGGCTCCAAAGATTATTACTGCCTTTTTTTATTTTGAAATAAAATGGAAAAAAGCCAGACGTTGTAACAAATGTTGTAAATAATGAAAACAAAAACTGAATTTTATTATTATTATTATTATTATTATTATTATTATTGTGAGTGTGGCATTTTTGTACATATACTGTACATTTACATTCTAAGCTGAACACTGCTGCTACTTGACAGTAACTGTAAAATTGTGTAATTTATTGACATTTCATGTTTTCTAGACAAAACCAAATGTTGAAGTGCATTTGGAAGGAGGCACGGTGTTAGTATATATAAATATCTTCTCATGGGATTCACAGCAATGTGATAATGTACATATACATATATCCTGTATGTATATGTATTAATATAAATATTTGATGTCTGTATAACTGTGAGTAATACCCGTGTTTTGTGGTCTGTTGGATTATTTGCTAGATTGTTGTATATGGTTTTAAAGCTTTGGATGTGTTATGTATGCAGTGTCTTTGGATTTAGAAAGGCAGCTGTTTACAGTCAGTAAGTAAGGGCAGATTTATTTTTAAAATGTCAGAACAGCTCAACATTGTCTTACTTCCAAATAGATCAGGTGCATTTTCATACCACTATCAGAGTAAACACAAAATATACATATACAGATGCTCCTTGCTTTATGATGATTTGACAGCGTTGCACATCCTGTATCTGTTCCCAGGGTAGCGAAATGCCACACGATACAGATGCTGGATGATGGCTGCATCCATCCAGCCACACTTCCAGATTCATAGTGTTTGACAATGTATCATATGATGGGTTTTTTTGTGTTTAACCAAATATTTACTTATTCTAAGACAGTAGGTATTTATTTACTTATCATACCATTCGAGTTTGACTTTCGATATTTTCAGTTTACAATGGATTCATTGGACCGTAACCCCATCGTCTGTTGAGGATCATCTGTGTATCCATCTTGTAAGTGCTTATCAGGTCACTTAGGTGGAGCATACCCCAGGCAGCAGTGGCCACAAGGCTGGTGAACACTCTGGATGAGGTGCAAGACCCTCAAGGGACATAAACATGCACACATTCACATTCTATAGGCAAAGTGGCCTAACTGTGCATGTCTTTGGACTGTGGGAGGAAACCAGAGAACCCATTAGAAACCTGTATGGGGAGAACGTGCAAACTCCACACACAGTGGAGTAGAGGCAGAAATGAAACCCCCCCAACCCTGGAAGTGTGAGGTCACCATGCCACCCTTTATATGTGAGTTTTCATGGTTTATCCTTTTCCTCCTTAATGAAACATCAGTGGACTGCACACAATAATAAGACATTTCAGAAAAGAGCTCCATGAGCTTTATGGCATATATGGGAAAGGAACCTGTCAACATTGCACTCAGTAATAAACAGTTTATTATCAGAATCTTTCTCTGAAAATGTAATGCTAAATTTGGTTCTGTCTATGATAAGGGATCACAGTTCACACGCCACACACATACATATACATCCTGACAAATCATAGTAAAATAATACAGCCTCTCCCCAGGTTACGATGGGCTTATGTTCCTTAGGGTGAAAAAATAATAAGGTGAATATGTGTTTTAAAATTGGTGCTTACATCTGAAACACATCGGTCGATAATTATTTGTTAATATGTACAATTAATCATCTAAGAGATATGTCGTTTATGTGATAAACTATGATGCTAAGCTTCTTTAAGTACTTGTTCTTAAAAGGAGTATTAATGAGGGATCAATTGAAGAACGTCTGTTACAATTATTTGAAAATTACAGTCACAAGTGACACAAACATTTGTGATTCTAAATGTTACATATTAATGTGAAGAAATTATGATAAAAATGATGAGGGAAAAAAACACTGGGTTTTAAATAAGCCTTTAAGTATATTTATGTGTTGTGGACAGTTTGTAGGCCTGGCTGGAAAACAGCTTGCACTATGGTTTCTGGGATAAAATGTAAGTTTAAATTTCTTTTAGAATGTTTTTTATATATAACTGTCACACCTGAGATTATGTTCTGAAAGCAAACAACTACAGTGAAGCAATGATTATTTCACAAACCATATGGCTTTTATTTCCAATGTGGAACTCAATTACAGGTAAGGAAGTAATTTACAACAGACAAACTTATTCTAACACAGAGAGGGACTTTCATTCAGTTTGTATGACTAAGAGACCATTTAGATGAGAACATATGTGTAATTCAACAGTATAAAATCAGAAAGAGCAAGTGGGCTTATGAAAATGCAAAAAAGAGAAAAAAGCATGAATTTCAATGTCTTCTGTAAATGTTAAAGCCTTTTGAAATTTACTTTTTCATAATCCAAAGATATTTAAAATATTAATCTCAGTTGTTAAAATAGCAGAGCAGGCATGCAGCTTTCTATTAGAAATGTTACTTTAAAAAATTAATTCATAATTTTTGCATTAAAGCATCCCATAACAATATGGCAGGCATTCACTCTCCTGCTTCCAAACAGTAGTACCTCAGAGGTTAATGTGCATGGACAGCCTTCATATTTTTGTTATAATTTATTTGCTTTTCAAAGTTAAAATTTAGAAATATATAAAACGGGTGCTTCATTTTGAAATACTTAATACCTGCCAAAACCAGACATATCCTGTGAGGTAGCATTTGTTTACGTGTCATGGCACATTGCACTAAATTTCCACATTCAGATCAAACCATTTTTAAGTTTTTTTCTAATTTTCACTTGAGTGTTTTAATGTTTTTATACTGCTGTGTAATATTCTTGATTTCAGTAATGCAGTATGTTTCTATGTCAAACTGTAAATAAAAGCATTGAGTATAAACTGTTATGGACCTCCAAATGCTGTTATAGACCTCCAAATGCTGTTATGGACCTCCAAATGCTGTTATAGACCTCCAAATGCTGTTATGGACCTCCAAATGCTGTTATAGACCTCCAAATGCTGTTATAGACCTCCAAATGCTCTTTCTCAAAGGAAGTCCTTTGCCTCCTTGTTTTTATATGAGCTAGCTGAAAAAGCGACACAGTCTAAAAGCATCCATATATAACAGCAACAAATGACACCTAGCCAGCATTCCTTCTTTCTACATATATCAACTAGTGGAATTCATCAGTATCCATCAGTATAAGCTTCACCTCCCGGAAATGCATAGGCTATCACATGGCCAACATGTTTCTGCATTATGAGAGCCAGGGATTTGTCAGGGCATTTATTTATAACTTGCAACTTATTTTCTGTTTCTATCAACAGCTTATAATTGTCAGAGGTATCCAAAATGGCAGAGATGCAAGCTAATAATGGCTCTGAGCCTTTCACATCTGGATGAAATGGGCTAGTAACAGCCTGCTTTCCAAAGTATAACCTGTTAATGATAATCTGGGTAGCAACAAAAGGAGCAGATAGACCACCAGTCACCAAAATGGTTGGCTCTTCATCTTCTTCTTCCTCTTCCTCCCGATTATCAATACTTTTGTTATCCTTTAACTTTATTAGTAATGGGCAGCTCCACTGGGACACCAGGGGATCTAGATGCATGTTAAAATCACTCAAAATGACTCCGGTGGAAGGTAAGAGTTGCATTGATCCAAAAGAACTGTTGAGTGAAGAAGAGATTACTAAAATATTACCAGTGTTGTCTAGTATGCCAATAAAGCTACCCACCATACTTAAGCCAGCTATATCTTTAAGGTTTTCATTTTCCACAGTACTTTTATAGGTTAACTTGGTTTTGTTTAACAGATTGGTGAAGAAAGAAGCATCACTCCACAGTGATGTGTTCTGCTCTCTGATTCCCTTTATTGAATTGAATATAATCCTGGCAGCATGTGATGAAGCAGATGCAAAAATAGTATATTCTTTTTCACGGAGAGTGAAAGGGGCGTTGAGCTCTCCTTGACACTGCTGCATATTTGTCACAAAATCTTGCCTTTCTGTCAAAGGAAGGTCTTCAGCCAATTTCACAGCAAGACTTTCTAACAAAGAGGAATCATTTACACTGATGCTCTGCAAAAGTTCAGATAACCTCTGATTAGTGACAACAGAACCCAAGGCCTTTACTGTCCCATTTCTGTGACAAAAAAGCTCAGACAGTTTTGAACTACATATTTTTACTTCATTTGATTTTAAAGCAAGTGCAAGACTGTTGTCTATGGGGAATCCATCCTTTGCGAGTTGTATGGCGCTGACAAACAATTTCTGCCATTTAAAGCCACCAAACTGAGAGTGTAGATATCTGATGCCCTGCACAGTGGCTGGGATGCCGTGGGTGGTTGATGATGTACCATGAAATTTGACACGTATTGCTTTTGAAATTCCAGTTGTGTGGTTGTAAAGGACGCCTGAAAACACTCCACCTTCAAGGGTTAAATTAAATAAATGAATAAAGAATTGATTAATGAATAACGCCATTATTATTATTACGCATTAAATAAAGTAATACTGATAAAATATCAGAGAGTACAGATACATAGGCATAACCAATGTGGGTTTTTTTTGATAAACTAATTGCTGGTCTCAGGATTTGAGGCACATATTCACTTTTAAACAAATTCTTGTTCCATCATGTAGAAACATTTATACGGTTTTCATACTAATTAATAAAATCTTGCTCATTTGTTAATGAACAGTGAATGAAAACTAAGTAATCAACTTACGACATTCACGCAAAATTCATTATTTTATAACAAACATAATATAACGCATATATGATGGGAAAAGGTTTTAAGCAGTCTTACCTACACCTGCTGTGTGTGGATGGGTAACTCCTAGACAAAGCAATGATGCTATCCCTGCATCCACCAAATTTCCTCCATCTTCAAGTATGTCCTTGCCAGCCCTAGAGCAGGTCACTTAATGCAAAGCATGTTTATATAGTGCAACTTGACTAAACTCGACTGATCAGTAAAATAATGATTTCTCTATGCAAAATCAAGATATTAATACCATTGAAACAGGATATTTAAATATAGTAAATAGAAAAGCTTTAGATAAATATTATTCTTACTGGAGTCAGTGATGATGACACCATTATGATACATGGGGTTATTGTGCTCGTGAATATGGTGGCTGGAGTTATTATGGAGGCTGTGACTCTCTCCTATTTTATGACTGTCTCTGTCATGATGGTGGGTCAACCCTTCTTTTTCTTCAGTTCTCCAACAATGATCAGATTCTTGGCAATCCTTCAGATCACTATCACCGGGCCAAAATCCATACCACTCACAAAAGACAAAGGACAAGGCCACACCAAGAAACAATACTTCCACAAAAAGCCGGAACCACAGGTTTCCCCGTCCTTGTCTCAATTTGTAGTAGGGGGTAGACGACCTTCAACAAAACAGTAAAGAAGAAAATCATTATCATTGTATGCTTCTGGAACTTTTGGACAAAAAGTATGAAGAATAAACAAATAAGAAAAATAAATAAAATTTTATTTAACATTAAAGTATGAAATAACAAAACTAAATAAGCAGTACAGTATTAAGAAATTATAAAAATAACTGAGGGTTTGACATCAATTTTTCTCTGCAACAAATTGCACTGGGAAGCAGTGGGTAGCTATACTATTGTGTGATATCTGTATGTGGGGCTTTGGGATCGAACCTAACTGGCAGGGAGCTGGAAGGGAGCAAAAACATGTACTGTCTGGGGGTCCCCAAGGGCCAGGTTGGGAAACACTGCTCTAGGTATAACAGGGGGTCTTCAGCCTCATGTCCAGAGAGATGCATGAAGTGTGCCATCACCATCGGAGCAAAAAATAGCAAAAGGAGAAAGAAATATTAAAGCACCCTGTCCTCAGTTTAGTTAGCCTTACTAATATGATCATACATTACTGGTTGAGGGTCCTTAGCTCTAACCTATTAACATTTGAGGGTGACATGTTTAAGAGAGTTAGAAATCCTTGGTTTAGATCAGGGGTGGGCAATTTTATCCACAAAGGGCTGGTGTGTATGCGGGTTTTCGCTGCAACTCCCTAATTAGATTACTGATTAGAGGACTGATTGGCTGAAGAGTCCTGGGTTTGAACAGCTGACCTATAGGTTATCCCAAAAACCTGCATACACACCGGCCCTTTGCGGATAAGATTGCCCACCCCTGGTTTAGATAATGTGTTGGTGATCTGATCAATGCATATATTTGAACCACAGCAAACCATACATTACAGGCACAGATTTACTAGTAATACTTTACTTGATGGGGCACAAATACTTAGCAATAACTCAGTTACTACTGAAGTACAAATTATGATGAGATCATTAATAAATATAGTTGCTACTTGAGATAAAAGATGCATTAGGATTCATTAATGTTGAACAAACATCAGTATATCACTTGTGTTATTCATTACTTGTTCCATCAGTAGTTCACAAAGGTTTACAGAATTAATAGATATAGTAAGAAATAGAGTAACTGCTTGTGATGAAAGATGCATCATGATTCATTAATGATCAATAATTAATGATGAATAAATGAGATCAGTATTTAACATGTTATTCATTACTTGTTCATTAAGTAGTTCACAAATGTTTACAGAATTAGAGTTATGGAATTAGAGTTTCTACCACAGAGTAACAAATATAGTAACAGAGTAACAAACTAAGACTTAGCTTGTGGTTAATTCACGCATAAGTATAATAGTATTATGCCCGTCATAATAGCATTATTTGTGCCCGTCAGGTAAGGTGTTACCGATTTACTTTTTTATCACAAAATAGAAATTCAACAGCAAAAACGTAAAAAGCTCATAGTTGTCTTTTACCAGTGCCGATCCTTAAAAGGTACTGCAGTATCATTGTAACGCATTGTACAATTTAAAAATATACAGTAGCTTACTTACGAAGACAAAAATGCCGTCACTTCTTCCTCCTCATTTTCTATTTCGCCCCATTGTTCGTCGCCCGGTTCACTAACAGTATTTCGGAGTTTTTTATATTTAACTGAGTTATTCGAAACCATTTTGTAAAAGTTTCAATGTTTCTGTAAATATTACACTGAACACCTTTAACGATATGCGTGTTACACAGGTAACTTTGTCATGTTAGGTCTAGGTTAATCCTCTACTTCCTGGTTTTTCACCTGTGCGATCTATCGTCACCTGAAATAATAATAAGTGAAACACACGGAAATATTTTATATATATGTATACATACATATATATATATACACACACACACACACACACACAAATTACGGAAAATAAATCATACGCTTTTTAGAACAATTCCACAATCTCTAATTGACTGATGTCTTTTTATTTTCCTTACAGAAATCAACCGTAGTTATTATGCTGTAGCACAATGCACAATAAAGCAGTCCTCGGGAAGTTTCTTACAGAAACATATAGTTATTCTGCGCATTTAGAATTCATTAAACACCGACAGTCTTTGACAGTTTAGGAAATCCATGCGTTAGTGATACCGAAATTCCCTTTCAAAACTATATATTTATAATAATTTACTAATTTTGGATGAGTCTTTCTTAAACTGCAGTATTAACTGAAACCGGTTAAACTGTAAACAATACTGAAATGTTACAATCATTTATAATAATTTTATATTTACTTAGTTAACTGAGAAATATATAGTCAATGTAATATTTTAATGCAAGTCTATCCTGCTATGTTTTAACATGATGGGAGAAGATCTGATTGTGGTTTAAAAGCACAGGGAATTTATTATACACTGAACTAAACAAACAAGAAACAAAGGGGATCATGAGGGGTTTAAACACAGGCAGGGAAGCCAACAAGAACTTAACCAAGGCTACATGAAACTTGAGGAAACACATGCAATGAGCACATGCAATGACCTACAGAGGAACAGGGCAAGGGCAGGTACATATACTCTAAGAACAAGATCTAAACAAGGGACAGGTGTGGGGCATTACCAGTCTCAAACACAAGATACTAGGACAGGGGCGGCGAGGCTGATCCATGGAGGCCGCAGTGGATTCAGGTTTTTGCGATGACCTCTCAGTGTGTCAGTAATAAAGCAGTGGTTCTCAACTCCAGTCCTATGGACCCACTGTTATTGGCTAACAGGTTCCCCACCTCTGTACTAGGACCTATAGGAAACAGATGAGGGTCATTAACAAGCACCAAGGACTCACACTAGGAGACATTAGGCACAAAGATTACAGGTCATCACTATAAAACACAAGCATAAATCAAGAACCAGTACAGAAATACATGAACACAAAAATATAACAGACACGGGGCACCATATAACCAAAATATCCAACATAGTCAAGGCCAGCCTCAAAGCCAGAATGATCAGGGATGCTAGGTACTCAGCTCCTGACTTAGCACATTCAGCCACATGGTGGCCAGATGAGCTGGGGAAGACAGTAGGGAATGCAAAAGGTTCTCAACCTAGGGAAACAGAAAAGAATGGGGTGTACACTTTTTATATCCACTGTAAATCTTCATCCACATATTATTTGTAAAGTGGCATTAAATCCATCAAATACTTTTTGAATGATCATGTTTACAAGGTCAAGCCCTCACCTCCACTGTGCCTCAGATGGTATACAGTATGTTCTGCGAAATGAAATCAGCTGGCTAAGTCAGTGTCCCTCAGTAGCGCATGTAGACCAGCCTTGCATATAGTTATACTCAGTATAATATGTAGTGAAATGCTCAGTTGCTTCAAGACTAGACTGTGTTAACAGAAACAATGTATAAAAAATTAAACAAAAATAAAAAATAACCATAAAGAATCATAAACAATTGATATCCCCCCCAATTATCTCTTCACTAACTCTTATACATTATGTGGATGTCTTTTAAACACTTCTCTGGAGGGTCATCAATTTCTTTCTGATGTGATGCCTTAAAATTTAGAAAGAAAAAAAACTTCTCTTCCATCTTTCTTACAGTAGCTACATTAGTTTTCTGCAGTAGCATGCATTATATAGTCATTTTTCATTTCATCCTTCTGACAAATGGAAGCAAGCAAATTAGTTAAGTTAGTTTAACTTAACCGAGAAGCTTTGCCTAACACGGAGCAAAAAATATTAGCCTAGACGGCATACAAAATTTATAAAGCTCGTTCTTTCGTAAACTTGATAACTCCTCAGGAACGAATTTCTTTTATGGTGCAATAAGATGTAAAAAATCCTCATTATGACACAATACTGAAGTGAACATAATTTGTTACTGCGCGGACTCCACAAGACACCCGCTCGCTGTCCGATTTCGACCGAGGAGCACATCGGACTACAAAGGTTTAAACACAACGTGTCGTAAAATAAGTCACAGCGTCGTAAAATTAAATGCCCTGTACGCATGCGTAAAAATAGCGCTCATGCAGGGGCAGGGGACGGACATCCGGCAGGGGACGGACATCCGGCGGTGGCGGAGTCTAACAATTGGCTGAAAATACCGGCAGTCAAATTAAGGTCAGTTTCTTTCGCGACAGTCTTGCATCAGCATCGAGGAAGGAACTTGTGCTTCTGGTGGAATCGTTCGGAACGCATTGATTTATTGCAAAGCACACGATAAATTGTTTGATGCCATGGAGGAGAAGAAAATAACAGAGGAGCTCAAAGAACTAAAAATTGAAGAGGGGAAGAAGGTAAATATTCCTGATTTCTGTCATTCCAGTTAATAGTATCCGCAGCTTTCAGAATTCGACTATGGAGTTTCAATACTTTCACTCTCGGTTAAGGTATTGCAATTTAATATTTCAAGCAACCCTTAATAAACAAGACGAAGATATCTATTGTTTTGTTTTTACTTAAGTACCTGATACTTAGCATGTTAGTATGCAGGTTTATTAGAAGTTAAAACAGCCTCGTATGTTTCAAGAATACCTGAATACGGTGATACTGATTAGAAGTCACTTTGCATTGACTTTTGATTAATTCGACACAGAAATACACAGCGCACGGTCGTCGTTAACAGTTCTCTCTTTTTGCTATTCATTATCTGCCATAGTATCTCTATGGATGTTTTGTTTACAAATTGAACTCGGAAACCTTCCTCATTCTTGGAATATAATTAATAGGTTTGTTTATGGGAATAATGTTATTATTGTACTCCAAATTAGGGTGGTGCTGGGGGAGATGAAGGCAACAAAGAAAGAGGAAAGAAGAAAAATAAGGGGGGGGATACCCCTGGCCGAGCTGAGGTAAGTGATTGTATTTCGAAGTATCATTTGTTTAATGGAGATTTTTAAAAGTCCAAGGTTTCCTCTGTGGTTGTGCTAAGGATTGTTTCCGTTGTGACTTTGGAAACGCAGCTGAATCCGCTGCCACAGTACATAGAGGACCGATTGTCGATTTACGACAAGCTGAAGGAAGAACATAATGCAATGATGGCAGAAAGGGCAGCAAGAGACAGCAAGCCTATCAAAGTCACCCTACCTGATGGAAAGACATTGGATGCAGAGTCATGGAAAACAACTCCTTACCAGTTAGCCTGTGGAATCAGGTATTTGGACAGATTGAGTTAGGACCTGTAATTTCTTTAAAGTCAAGGGGTAATTTCTGATGTTGAAGTCTATGCATGGAGTTTTTTTATGTTTTGTTGGCTTTTTCTCTTGTTTACAATAGTTATTCATAATTATTAATTACTTTTCTGATATAACTATTTATTGTGCATCAGTTTAAAATGTTTTCTGACCAAATGACTTTAAGTATGTCTGTATATTAGCAAAAGCACGTTATTTGTGATATGTTTTTTTCCCTATGCAGTTTGTCTGGTAATTGTTTTCTGATATTTAACAGTGTTACTTATATTGTTGATCTTTTCACCTTTACCAGTCAAGGCCTTGCAGACAACACGGTGGTTGCAAAAGTGAACAATACAGTGTGGGACCTAGATCGGCCACTGGAGGAAGATTGTAGCCTTCAGTTGCTCAAGTTTGATGATGAAGAGGCTCAAGCTGTAAGTTTATAACCTTTGTACAAAATGAGATTTTGTATGTACGGTACATACTACATACATAAGCGACTTTCCTCCTTAAAAATTTATATAGCACCTTAAAAAAATTCTCAGTATTCCGCTTGTTTTTTGGTATGTTACCTATCATAGATGAACATTTTTCACATAAAATTGATTCCTTTGTGGAAGATATGCTTAACTTGGTGTTTACTTCTGTTTTTCCAAAAAGGTTTATTGGCACTCCAGTGCCCACATCTTGGGTGAAGCAATGGAGAGGGTGTATGGTGGATGTCTGTGTTATGGTCCCCCGATAGAGAATGGCTTTTACTATGACATGTTTCTGGACAATGAGTGAGTCACCAAACTGAATCAATACATTTCATACAGCACTTAAAATGTAGGAAACTGACTTGCAGTAAAGTATTTCACGGTAATCTTTTGTTGTATTTGTCAGTGTTGCGCATTTCAGGTCTAGAAGCTACAAATCCAGACCAAGATTTTGCCTGTACCAACCAGTTGAGTACTCTGTGACTATGACTCTATATGCTCAACTGGTTGGTACAAACAAAATATTTTTCTGGATTTGTAGCTTCTGGGCCTGAAATGCCCAACACTGGTATTTGTAGCCATTCCATCTTAACTGAAGTGTGACAGACACTGAGATAGTTAGTTATATATGAAGAGGTGAAAATGAAAGCACATTACTTAACTTGCACAATAATAACAATATTCTTTCACTTAAACATTTTCACTTAGTAATTTATATCGAAGCTTTGCAGTTTAGTAGTGTTAATTGGCTTCATTTACACACAAAACATTGCACATTATTTAATTTTGAATTCTAATCTCAGATCATACTTTTTGTGTTTGCTTGTTTTGCCATAAATGCTGTAGTGATTTTTAAAGTCTTCATCTTAAGGAATAATTCACTTTATTATGTTTGTAACTACTTAGAGGTCTTTTTTGCCTTATAAAGTACTGTTACTGGCATACATGTATTAAGCTAGGATTACCACCCATCTATCATCGTACCTCTTACCCTGCATAGTGTTGTGTTGACTAACCTACTGGGATTAAAAGAAAAATAAAGTATGAATAGGCAAGTAAATACTACTCATTTGGCAGGGGGGTGTCAAGTAATGATTTTCCATGTCTGGAGAATTTGTGCAAGAAGATCATGAAGGATAAGCAGCCCTTTGAGAGACTAGAAATAAAGAAGGAAACACTCTTGGAAATGTTTAAGGTAGGTTTTCTGATTTAGAACAGATGAATATAGCCATGCTCATTTGAGTCTATGTTGCAGTGATGTTAATAGTATTTTTTTTTAATTTTTTTTTAGTACAACAAATTTAAATGCCGGATATTGAATGAGAAAGTTGACACACCAACAACTACTGTTTACCGGTAACTACTGGAATTTAAAGAAAATTTAGTTGAGTAGCCTCTTTAGTACATGTGAAAATGATTTATTTTCAGTTTTGGCTAATTTTTATTTCTTTTTCATGCCCTTTCAAGATGTGGTCCATTAATTGACCTTTGTCGAGGACCCCATGTAAGACACACTGGGAAGATCAAAGCCTTGAAAATCCACAAGGTAAACTCCAGCACTTCATTTATTCAATTTTTTTTAGTAAAACTAGTAACTGTGAATCGGTACCATTTCAATGCTATTACAGTACAGTGGAGGTTAAAGTCACTGGATGGTTGTCAGCTAATATGTCCACTTTTGTTTCTTTTGGAGAGAAATGACGGCAGGATTTTAAAAATAGGTGGGAACTTTAAACAGAGGGAGAAATGTCTGTATAAACACCAGCATTTGCTTTAGAATGCATCTTGAAACTTCATCCGGACTAGTTGCTTTGCTAGAATGTTTTTTCTATATAAAATAAAGCCAGGAGATGCTATAGATGCTGGGTAATCTTATCCGCAAATGGCCGGTGCATATCCAGGTTTTCACTGCATCTCCCTAATTAGATTACTGATTAGAGGACTGATTGACTGAAGAGTCCTGACACCTGGGTTTGAACAGCTGACCTAAAGGTTATCCACAAACCAACATACACAACGGCCCTTTGCGGGTAAGATGGCCCAACCCTGCTATGGAGGATCTTTGCTGGATCAAGTTTTGCATAAAATACATCCAGTTTGTCAGGGAGAAAAGTTGTTGTACACGAAGGAGTTTGTTGTTGGTTTGTAGTCTGTTGGTTTGTGAATTCCCTCATACTTAAAATAATCTCTCCTCCCTCTCTGGTATCCTGCAATGCAGCATTCTGATCTCTGGTTTATCTTCTTTATTTGTAAACAGGACAGAGGAGCATGGACATTTAGGCCCAATCCCAATTCTATTTTCTACCCCTTTGCCTACCCCTCACCCCTTCCCCTTGCCCCTTGAAATGAAGTGGAAAGGGGTAGGGTTAAAAAATTTCCCCTAAGAAATGGGACACCACTACTACACTGTTATACATCATCATCCATTGTCACTACCTCCTAACATTACGTCAGAGGACATGCGCCGATGTTTATCACAAATTCCAAGATGTCGCCGTCAGCATCGTAGCATGTAAAGATTACTCACTCCCAAAGTTTTTTTGCGCCGTATTTGGACTTTAAAAACATATGTTCGTTTTCACCTCGAAAACGTATAAGCCTTCGGGTTTCCTCAGCTGTCCCTATACAGAATATAATTTACAAAAATGTTGTCATGTTGCAATAAGTACGAATAGTGTAAGCACCGTTCATTTACATGTACACATATGGCCGTAAGCAAAACAAAACAACGCGTTACAACATGCAGTCAGTTACCGGGTAACGTTATATGACATAAAAATATATTTCCTAATATTGTGCAATCAGTGCTATCCGCAAGCAAACTTTAGCGATTTTTTTTCAAACGTTTCTTTACAGAACATCACCGTAAACACAAACACAAGATTGATGGTAATATACATGTAATGAAAAAATGTCATAAAAATCCTTATTAATGGCAAAAATTACTTAACATTTATGGGTCTGCTTGCTTGAGTGGGCAGCCATGTTATAAATTTCTCTTAGCCCTTCGTTTGAAGTGAGGTCCCGAAAAATCTTCGTTTCGAGGGCTATCTAGCCCTTCCCCTTACCCCTACCCCTCCAATCAAAAGAGAATTGAGACACCCCTACCCCTACACGTGAACGCGCCAAACGGAGGGGTAGGGGTAAGTGTAGGGGTAAGGGGTAGAATTGGGATTGGGCCATAGTGTGACTAATCTGGGCGTTTATGCGTGGAAGAGCAGTAGCGTTCCTTGATTGCAGTGGTTCAGTGTGACCCTAGCGGATCAAGAATCATTTTGGTGGTACTTG